AGGAATATATAGTGCGATATGCAATATGACAACAATATTAAATACATATCAATATACCGAATATCCTAAACAGAAGTAGAGCATATATAAAGTATGACAGTATGTGTGTGTGTGTGTGTGTGTGTGTGTGTGTGTGTGTGTGTGTTACATGTACCCTATTATTGTACATGGGAAAACCAGAGAGGTGGACATTGGGGGTCCTCCTGTGACCTCCCTCATTCCCTAGAGGTAGGGTCTCTCACTGACCTGGAGCTCACTGTTTACAGCTGGCTGATTGGCTACGAAGCATTATTGATCCTCCATCTCCAGTGTTGTGGTTACAAGTGTTTTCATGGCCTGTCTTACAAATAATATGTATGACATTCGAGGAAGGAACGCCCAAGGTTAACATCTGGCACACACACAAACACACACACACAGAGACACACAAATGAACACACATTCATGCACCATTATGTATGTGCAAAAATTTAATAAAAAATACATTTTAGAAAATAAATTATAAAATTAATAGTAAAACAACAATCATCATTAATTACATTGCCAATCCTCAGCAGTGCCAGTGATAAGTGGGTTTGTCCCTTCCAGGTTTGACCCACCTGCCTCCCCTGGCAAACCACTCCTCATCTTAACCCCTGTGCTAGTTCAGGATAAACTCCACAGCCAGACCTGACAGGCACCTTACAACTGCATTTCCTGTGTCTCCTACATGTTTCCCTAAATGGTTCCTGTTCTTCCACCTCCTCCCTCTTCCTCCTTTCCCAATTTCTCCAGCCTTGGTGATAATCTGTTAGGTGCTTGTAGAACAATCAATCTAAGGCAGCCATGCCTTTCTCTGCTTCCGGCAGACACACCATGTTTTTCTCCTTTAGCAGAACTTCCGATGGTCCCCAAGGCCACACCCACACTAGACAAGGGCTCTGCCACTGAGTTATACCTCACTTATACTGTGACTTCTTCCATCGGTATTTTTAAAATTAATTCACTACTGAATATTCCAGCCCATTGTTTTTAAAATATTAAAATTAATGATAAAAAGACATTTTTATTTTATTTCCATTTTTTTTAAAGACAGAATCACCTGTATTCTAGGCTGGCATCAAACTTACTAGATAGCTAAGGATGACCTTGAACTTCTGACTCTCCTGCCTCCACTTGCCAAGTGCTGGGATCACAAAGGTGTGTGACCACTCCTGTATGCAGCACTTGAGATGGACTCAGGGCCTTGTGCACCCTAGGCAAGCACTCCACCACTGAGCTGCATACATAGACCTCAAAAGAAATGTTTTATCCATGCAAAATATCCTCATTTAGTACAAAGATATCACACCCAGAGAAATATGTGCAACAAGTATTGAAAAGAACCCTGTGATTGGCTTATTAATTCTCTTTCCATAATTTCATTTTTGTAGCCAATTCAATAGTACTCTGCTTTGCAATTTTCTCTTGGTGTCTAAGCAAAAAGACCTCAGATGATTTCTCTCTCTCTCTCTCTCTCTCTCTCTCTCTCTCTCTCTCTCTCTCTCTCTCTCTCTCTGTATTTCTCTGGGCTGAACTCACCAATGCTCTAGGCCAGCTGGCAGTGAACCGCAGGGCTCTGCCTGTCTTCCCACTGCAGTGCTGGATTACAAGTGCATGGCAACACACACAGGTCCCTGGGGATGCAACTCAGGACTTTGTGATCCAGAGGTGTCCTAGTTCAAGTTTCTATTGCTGTGAAAAAAAAAAACACCATAACCAAAGAACTTGGGAAGGAAAAGGTTTATTTGGCTTACACATACCAGTCATGTTCCATCATCAAGGGGAGTCAGGGCAGGAATTCCAAGCAGGAACCTGGAAGCAGGAACTGAGGCAGAAGCCATGGAGGGGTGCTGCTCACTGGCTTGCTTTTCCATGGCTTGCTCAGTGTGCTTAGATTATAACATCCAAGATCTCGCCCAGACATGGTACCACCCACAGTGAGCTGGGCCTCCCACATCAATCACCAATCAGGAAAATGTCCTACAGACGTGCCTACAGGCAATCTGATGGAGGCCTTTTCTCAGTTGAGGTTCCTCTTCGCAGATAACTACAGCTTGTGTCACATTGACAAAATAACTAACCAGGACACAAGGCAGGTACTTGAGGACTGAGGCATCTCCTCGGTTGCTGACCTGCCTTTTCCCCCTCAGGACACACTTTCCTAGTGTCTGACTCTATCCATGTCAATGGCTGAAGAGACTGTTCCCATCTGTGTTATTATTCTACCACTGTACTTCCAACACCTTTGTTTTTTGCTTTGTTCTTTTGGGACATTCTGGGAGAGAAGGTAATATATATGTATACATCAATGTGTGCGTGCACATCTGGTACTGAACAGTGATGGTGGCTGCTCCACAGAATGAATGTGCTGTAAGTCACTGAGCTGTATATTGCAGAGTTCAAATGATATAGCTTATATTACATACATTTATACCAACAAAAATGATATTTTTTGCAACAAGGACTCACTATGTAGCCTTAGCTGGCCTGGAAGTTGCTATGTAGACTAGACAAGCCTTTAGCTCATAAAGATCTGTTTTGGTGCATGTCTTGGATGTCACTCTGTAGACCAGGCTAACCTCTAACATACAAAGATTTGCCTAGCTCTGCCTTTAGAGTGCTGGGATTAAAGGCTGGTACCACCACCAGCCAGCCAATGTGACCTTTCTTTTTTTTTAATTTATTTATTTATTATGTATACAGTGTTATGCCTGCATGTATGCCAGAAGTGGACACCATATATCATTATAGATCATTGTGATATATGTGGATGCAGGAGTTGAACTCAGGACCTCCTGAAGAGAAGCCAGTGCTCTTAACCATCGGATCCATCTCTAGAACCCAAGGTGGCCTTTCTTAAAGTGGTTTGGTATATAACTGTAATCCCAGTAGTTGGGAGGTACTGAGATCAGGAATTTAATGTCATTGACTACACAACAAGGTCAAGACCAGTCTGGACTACAAGGGCTTTAAAAAAATGTTAAGAGTGGTTCAGAGCATTGGCTTTGTGATTGTGAGGACCAAAGTTCAAATTCAAACACCAACACAGGAAGCTGGGTGTCCCT